ATTTTTTTGTTGTTGTTGTTATTGTAATCATAAACACCATACTTCATTTATAAATACACATATATGTTTAAAAATAAAGTCACGTCTCTATATTTATAAATCCCCAAAGAAACAATATTCTGATTGACAAAAAAAAAAAGTCCAAATTAGGTATTATATATATATATATATGTTTTTTTAAAAAAAAATTTTTTTGTGGGATTCGTTAACTCTGTTTATTCACAAATTTTTCTCGTAAGGACAAGAGGATAGAAGAAAAAAGAACAAAGAGGAAATGGTGGCTTTTCTTCTTCTCGTCAATTCACACCCTAAATCATATCCAGCACTTGACGATTTAAAGCCACAACAATGAAATTGGAAGGCATACGGAATTCTAGATGAAATGCAGCAAGAAAAAACGACGTCGTAAGTCATCATCACCTTCTTGTCCTCTCCCCTCGCTAATGGTTTCCTCTCTCCTCCACTGCGGCTTTATTAGTCGCCCTAAACGGTGCCGAAGTGGTGGTATCAAAGACAACAGCGAGTCGCCACGACAGCCAATCAACAGAAACCGAAACGCCACTATCCTAATCGGGGATAATGTTATCTCTGAACCTCCCTGTTCAGGTCCCAAACACTTTCCCTCCGCTCAAACCTAAGCCTACTCTCTCGTCGTCACAAGTGACGGGAACAGCAACTGGAATTGTTCCGACCACCGGCTTGTCATCCTGCTCCTCTCAAATCTCCATAGCCAAACGCCACGAGCTTCGGGCAACCACCGCCGGGAACGTCGCTATCCAGGAAGAGGATAATGATGGGAGTATGGTCGCCGGGGAGGAGGAGCTGCCGGAGGGGCTCCAAAGAGACCTGATGCCGAAGCACGTGGCAATTATCATGGACGGAAACGTAAGGTGGGCAAAACAGAGGGGTTTGCCGTCGTCGGGGGGCCACCAGGCCGGCGTTGAGTCTCTGAGGAAAATCGTGGAACTCTGCGGCAGATGGGGGATTCAGGTTCTCACCGTTTTCGCCTTCTCGACAGATAATTGGATTCGGCCCAAGGTTAGCAAAGTATCCTCTACGAGGCTTTCTTCTTTACCTTTCCCTTATTGTCGTCTTCCGATGGTGAGTGATTAGGTTTGGTTGTACTGCAGGTGGAGGTTGATTTCTTGATGAGCTTGTTCGAAAGATCTTTGAAAACAGAAGTGCATAAACTTGCGAAGTAAGTGTGATTCTATCTTATCAATTTCGGGAAAATTTGGAGAAGAATTTCACTTAAACAGTAATTGAATGATTCCAATGGCTCCTTTTCTCTCTAGTAAGACAATTCAAAATTGATTTGAAATGAGTGGTGCTTCCTCTCTTCTCTGTTCATATTGTGCAGATGCCTCTTTTCTTTTATTTTAGAATACGGTTATCTCCTTTGAGTTCAGATATGAAAAAACGACGTCGTAAGTCATCATTCTCCCTTCTGTCTCTTTCCTCTGCTCTTCTTTCTCAATCGTATTTTCTTCCCAACTTTCCATTCCCTTAATCTAGTAAACCTAATGAGTCAAGGCCCGGACAGTTTATTTTCTTAACATGTTATGTTTTCTTTTGGTAAAAATATAACAAATAAGTATCTTTATCTAGATACATTACTGTTATTTTTCTAAATTAGTACTTAAAAGTGCTTTGAGAAAATTCTCAAACACTTATGCTTTGAACATATTTATGTAGACAAATCGCATTATTATCGTGAAACCAGAAAGCTTTGTTTTCTATTGCTCAGAGCTAGAATATCTGCTAAATGCTGCAAGAGATCTTTGATACTGGTATTTGTCATTTGAGGGAAGAAACCAGATATAAATTTGTGTCAAATTCTTTTTTGTGATTTTGGCTTTAGCAATTTCTGTCCTCATCTTTAACAGGCAAGGTATTAGAATATCCATAATTGGGGATTCATCCAAGCTCTCAAAGTCTCTTCAAACCACCATAACTGAGGTAGAGGAGATGACGAAACACAATTCCAGACTCCAACTCATTGTAGCAGTCAGCTACAGTGGGAAATATGATGTTCTACAGGCCTGCAGAAGCATTGCCCAGAAAGTCAAAAGAAGGCTTTTATCCAACTTGATGACATTAATGAGCAACTGATTGAGCAAGAACTAGAAACAAATTGTACCGAATTCCCTTACCCAGATCTGCTAATTAGAACCAGTGGAGAACTTAGGGTCAGTAACTTCTTACTGTGGCAATTGGCTTACACAGAACTCTACTTTGCACCAGACCTATGGCCTGATTTTGGGAAGGAGGAGTTTGCAGAGGCATTAACTTCGTTTCAGCAGAGGCAGAGACGCTATGGCGCTCGCTCGCAGCTGACGGAGAAAGACAAGGGTATCTCTGGATTGATTGGTTAGTTCATCAAGGTCTGATATATACTTGATATATGAGGTAAAAAAATGTTGTATACTTAGTAGAAAAGTTTTAGTCCACTGTAAAGAATCTATTGAAAATCACTTCAGCCCTTCCATTATAAAGGATGTTAAGAGGGGTATGACATAATTGTAGGCTATAAGTTACACCAGTTAATTTTACTAAATCTTTTTATCATTATTTGTCTGTTATTTTTATTATAATCTTATAATAATATATCGGATTCGAATTATTTAATTTTTTTAAAAAAAATTCTATAGTATTTTATTAATATTGTATCGATGTTAACTTAAAAGAAGAAGATTGACATTGAACAAAGTTTAAGACTACAAATAATACCTTGTTAGATAGCAAAATTCTTACGGATGAATATGTGACGGATTTCAAACAAGTTTGGTAAAACTCGAATCTTACCCACATTACAAACTACATTTGATGTGCATATGTTTTTCAATTTTTTTTTTTTGTTATGATAGTTATATACATAGTGTCCTTTTTAGGGATTTATTATGATATATAAAAAAATAAAATCTTCGTAATATAATTAATTTATTATAGTAGTTTAATGCCAAAAAAAATACTCGAGATAATTTGTTTGTTGTTTGAGATAATATATTTGTTGTCTATGAGCACTCGTGATTTATAATATTTTAATCTTTTCATTTGATAGAATAAAAATAAAATACGAGTATTTAGAAAGTTGACTTTAACAAAGTAACACTAGATTACTAATTTTGTAAGTTTTTATTTTATTTTATTTATCTAGTCAATTTATATAATTATTCTATTAATTTCTTCATTTTTTTAAAATATATATCATTATAATAGTATAATTAAAAAAATATTCGTAATAAATATATTTTTATTACTTATTTTATTTTATGAATATTATTTTTTAACACGTAATTACTTATATTTTCTTAGAACTCAAATAAGTAATTGAAAAAAATTAAGGTAGTTTGATCTATATATATTTTTTGCTATAATTATTTGTTTATAAATAAAAATATTTGAACTTAAAATAAATTTTGCCCAATATAACGTATATAGTTATAGTCATTCAAGCCCACCCCAGAGAATTATGAGACCAGACCTGAACAAGCCCTTTTTGGAAATGTTTGGATTTAAGACACCAACGTTAATCTTGTAGCTGAAACAAGTCATAGTATACATTTGTGTGTGTATATATATATATATGTATATATATATCTTCTCTATGCTACTTTCTTCAGCACGACATTGAGCTCATAGTTGACCGACACAAAATTTGTACTCATGAATTGTTAATCTCTCTCTCTCTCTCTCTATATGTATATATATATGTATATTATAATTTATTATATATGTACACGTGTACGCATACATATGGCCAATATTAAAATATCATGCATACAATCACCTAACACACACAAATGCATTGAAGAATGTTGAATTGAATGCTTGTCACTCTTATGATTAAATTACACGTGACCGCTCAATAAACGTCGGATTAATGACCAAATGGCTAACTGCCCTAGCTACTCTCGTATACGTGTATGTACTATATATATATATATATATATATTTAAAATAAAAATTTATACATTTTTAATAAGTAAATAACACTCACAAATTAATAATATAAAATTGATCTTTTAGTAAAAAATGTCAAGACCTTTTTATATATATATATATAGAATGTGGATTTGACCTTATCTTCACTTTTATTTATATCATCCAAACCCCAACATGTTCTTCCATTCCTTTTTTGGTTAATTAATTACAAGGTTTCAATATAGCATGTTTATGTATTATTATATTGGCCATCTACCTCTCTATATTTTAGGTAATTATCTCTTTAATTAGTAATTAACTTTTAATTATAATTTATATTACGAATTAATACATGTTATATATATATATATATATGTGTGTGTTATAGATGGATTGCTATTTTAAAATACTTTATTTTTTATTTTTTTTACATTAAGAACCAATGAATGAGTCAACTTGATTCCATTTTCATGAAGTAAGCATATATTAAAAAAATATATATATGATATATACGTGGTTGATAGATATACAAAATTTTGACTTTTTTGTTATAAAATTATTTGCTCAACCAAATATCATTCATATATTATACGTGAAATTATTAGTTATAATTTATTCTCTAATGTTATGGTCGCCTTAGCTCAGCCAAGTTTCACCAACTTTGTAAAATCATACAAAAATCATAATCTTACTTTGATTATTCATTAATTTAGTGATGATCTACTTAATTTAGTGGCCTATCAAAATAAAAGAATATATATTAAAAACATTACAATAACTTCCTATAAATAACTAGCACATATTATTTTGACAAATTTACTAATAATTTAATAATTATTGACTAAGTGATAAGTCTCTTGATTTCATTTATTAATTAAATGATTTTTTAGATATTTATATTTAAAAATTATAGATTTTGTGTTATTATTAATATATACGTATCTATTTGATTTATAAATAAATGTGTAACTGACCCTAAACTTGAAAGAAAATAAATTATGAATTAAATTCGGAAACAAAATAAATAATTTAGATTTACATTACTTACACAATAATTCAGATTATCTAATAGGATTACGGAAATGATCTTTTTTAAAAAAATAATGAAAAATCAAAGAAATAAATAAAAAATAAACAACTGGACATTCTACTCGCAACCCTCTTGTGGATCGGGCACTGGATATTGGTCATTTTGATCTGAAATGGTTAATGAAATAGTGAACTATACTAGTCCAGTAAGAATATCACGCTACTCACCGACACAGAAATGAAGGTTGGTAAAAATCATAAAAACAATTAATGAAGTTCTTAATTCAAGTAAATTCGTTTATCATAAAAAAATATCATTTACCGCATAATTGCTGTAACGAGATTTTCAAAACTAACATGTAGAGTCAATAACATAAACAATATCATAATCTCATATGTAATCAGTCGATAACAACAACTTTCTCTTTTATCAACTTACTGGTATCCATAGGGGTCCATAGGGATGTCCTCACTACGCGTGAACTATTTTTTAACATTTTTAATTAACGGATCATTCTCATACCCCGTCCGGTATGTGTGCCAAAATACCATCCTTTAATGCCATGTTCAACATGAGAGTGAAACGAGTCGTCCTCATACCCTGTCCAATATGAGCGTCAAAATACTAATCCTCGATATTTGTCCAGTATGAGGCAACGTTTACGATAGGGTTCCCTATGTACCAGGTCCATCCACCATCTCCTAGGATATCCAATAAGGCTACTGTTCATCTATTCACTTAATCAAACAATTTTCTGTTTACCTTTAATTTTTAGTTTTCTAATCAACTATAATAAATCACGTAAAACAAGCAATACATGTATCAAGAAAACACAATTGAGTTATCATACCAAATTCAGTGTATTATCGTGCATTCGAAATTGGAAAATCAAACAATCAGCTAAACACGACAAACAATAACAAATAACCAGTTCCGGCTCTATTAGTGACCTGTAATTAATTATGTATATTTTTTAAACTACACAAAAATATCGTATTATTATTAATTAAACTTCAATTCTATAATAGGAAATAAGGTGAGGGATTCTTACTCGAATTGATATCCGAACGCTAAACTTTGGGCTGCGCCTATTGGCTGTCCCCAAGTTCCCTGAATTTTTCTTTAGAGATTAAAACAAGCTCCAAGTACCTAGAAATACCCCAAAAATTCAAAATCAGTGTCAGAAACCCTTTTTGGCCAATTCTGAAAATCTAGCACGGTGGCTCCGCCGTGCTCCGGCGATGGTACTGCCGCCTGCGGTGGCATTTTGCCTTAAGTTGGCCGTTTTAGGCTAATTTCGGCCGATTTTGTACATGTTTCTACGAGAAAACACGTTAGAGGGTCTCAGTTGGCCGAAAAAGTAAAAAAACTAAAGCTTACTGGCAGCAAGGTTTTCTAGCGCGACGACTCCGTCGGCTCACCTTCGCGATTGGGTGTTTTACTTCAGTCAACCTGTAGAGAAAGAAATAGTGATTACAATGGTGGAAAAATTACACATAACGAGAATCGAGAAGGGCCTCATCGGAGGTAGTTTTTTGCTTTTTCCTGTGGGGGCGGCGCTGGGCTTTACCCTCAGTTTTTTGCTCATCCGCTAGTCCTTTTGTTCCGATTTGGCCATGGAGGTGTTTAAAATTGAATTTCGAGCGAATAACATTTTTTTTTACCTCTTTTGGCGGTCAGAAGTGGCTCTAGTGCGGCGGCAGCCGGTGGTCGACTCCCTTCCCAGCGATTGGCTCTTTTTATCCGGTAGGGGGGGTCTGGCGGCTAGGGTTAGAGTTCGGTGTGAAGAATGCTATTTATAGCCATCTTCTTTTAATCTGAGCCGTCTATCGCGGTTAAATAGAAAGTGAATCTGGACTGTTCATCATGATTTGATCTGAACTGTCCGATCGCGTTTAAATAGGAAGTAGATCTGGACTATTCATTGCGATTTAATCTTTGGTCGTCCGA